TTTAGATTAGGTACTTAGGTTAGTTTAGATTTAGTCATACGATGTTATCTTAAGGTACACAGAGTGTTAGACACTCTAGCGATGTTAGCACTAAGAATCCGTAGATTAAGTAGCAGTAAGAAATTTGTAAACTTAGCTGAAATAAATATGTTCCAAAGAGAAGCTGAAAAAGCATGAACAAAATTTTCCATCGGTATTGGTACCGGCGCCAGAAGTGGCGTCTTCAGAACACTTGTCCACTGGTGGTACAATATATTGCACCGGCGTCCTGCCGCTGTACCTTTGTCAGCTTTCTTTTCCTAATTCAAATTTATGGCTTCATGTTTCTATTCACCCTGGGAGTTTAAATCTCGGAGGCTGCAGGTGTCATGTGAAAAAATTGAGAACAAATGTACTCAAGTTCAAGCTTATTTTTGCAAAGGCGTTCTGAACAAAATTATCCGTTAATCCAAACAATTATTGAAACTAATCAAATGTTTGATATGTGAAATTGTAAAATTAGGAAATAATTGCTTTAAACAATAATACCACAAAGGGAATCCATCCCACACATTGTAGCAATATTTCATTCAAAACCCATAAACCTGGCTTGAACATCGTTTACACGCTCAAGGCAACGACCCCATCTAAAGTGGATTTTCTGTCAGGATAGATTTTACTGAAGCCAAATTTTTGGCTTTGCGCAAAATTCAGATCTGCGTTTACACATAACGATTTGCTTGAGAGATCGGGATATTGCAAGCCAGACCGTTTAGATGGCTTGACCGTGTAAACGGCACTTTAGGCACAATTTTGTGTCGAATAATCGATTGTTAGTTCTTAAAACAATATTTAACAGTACACGGCAATGGACAATCTGATTTGCAATAATAAATAACCGATTGTTTGAACATGATTTTGAAGAAAATTTGTAATACATTTTTCTGCAAATTTATGGACGATTCGCATTTTTTGCACTTAAACTGCTGTGGTGTATAATTATGTGTGTGTACTTTAATTGGGAATTAAAAAGAACGCGAAACTCGAACAGGCATATAGTACATGAGCACCCTTACCTAGTATTTGCAGTACCTGCAGCTTCTTCCTTGTTAATTTGTGGATTCATTGTTATCAGCGTCATAAAAGAAACTGCACCGAACACAATAATATCACACCCAATAATTGATATATCAAAATCACTGTCAGTTTAATAACGCAATGTGAGATGCATATAACAGATGCACCCGCACTCAGAGAAAAATGTCGAATCCAAAGCGCATATGTGCGTCCCAAGCCTCAGGCCCGAAGTGACCGACAAAAATCTGTTCACCGTCCCATAAAAAGTTATCACTTCAAAAGGTCGACCAAACCAATTTTTCCGAGGGCTGACAGACAACAGGCTGCTTGGGTCCAAAACTGTAAATTTTTTAAACTTAATTTTCCTTAGGAGGCCAATATTTCACCGCCAAGGACTGACAGTAGTGTTGCATGTCATCGTCGACTCTACCTGTTGGTGTATAAGTGTGTATCAGCTGTGGGCTGTCACTTTCGGTTGGCTTAATGGTTATGTAGATTACCCTTTCAAATATTGCCCAATACGAAGTACTCTGGTGTTTCAGTCGTTTGTTTATTAGAAATGCTTCTCCCTCGTTACCGTAATTTGTTGTGGTTTTATTTTGGTATAATACATGTCGGGACTGTATTCCCAAAATTTCCCGGAAAAAATGTGCAAAACTTAATCTGAAAAGTGAGATTTTTGCAATGGAACATGATGAGAATCAATTAAACGACAAAAATGGAGAGAAAATTGATTGAGCACAACATAATACGGGAAGGGCAAATAGAACAACAAAGCAAATAAAAGTGAAAATTTATTTTCAAACAACCAGAGTGAATTACAATTTGCAATAATAACGCAATTGAGCTAAAACTGAACAAAGAGAAAATTACACACAAAAGTATGGAAAATTAATCTAAGAGTTTCCAAAATATTTATTCATAGTCATTACGTGAGAAAATTTTAATTTTCATGCAGTTTTTCGTTCCTCTCTCTTTTCTCTCTTTTCTGCGTTCTATTTTAGCACGAATTTTCGACTTTTGATAAAACGTTCTTTATTTTGGTAAAGGCCGAAAAACTTAGCAAAATGGAGCATTTAAACAAAAACTAAACGGGCGAACCACGTATAAAAAATTGCTAAAATTAAAATGTTCTTTCAGTTTTGCGTTCTTTTTTCGTATATTTTTGTCTCCGAAAACAGGTTAAGAAACAACGGAGGAAGATGGGGAAAAATTAGAACTAGCGAAAAAACAAAAAATAAGACAAGAAATTGAATTGAAGAATTGCTCACAGAAGGGCAAATAAACAAACAACAAAAGCGACCGAAAAAGTCAACATTTGGCCCATAAATGGATAATTCTTTCATTGCAAACGAGGAAAATAAAAAAATACACAAGCAACCATTTGCTACAATCTCTTAACTGAAATAAAACGAAACTAAAGCAAAATGCTGAAAATTTGATTTGAATTGAACATTTAAACGAGCAACGGAAAATAGCATAAAGCGCGATTAGAAATAATTGAATATGGAAAGAAAAATACAAATTGAGCATAAATAACGAATAAAAGTGAACAAAATAAGAAATCAACAAAAGCAAATAAAAGAATCTGTCGAATGCATTTGCAAATATCACATAAGAAATTCAACTAAAAGGGAATAAGAAATAACCGAAAAACGTTTGAAAATGAAACATTTAAATTGGCAATTAATAGTCGTGAAGTGGATATAAAAATAATTATTAGTAGTACTAATCGGGGAGCATCCATTTCGTTGGTAGGCTGTACGACAGTCTTTCAGATGGCATTATATGCAATCCTTGAGGTTGCCACAGACAAGGAGGTCATAGAAGGACTAGGAGAGATTGAGATCTATTCAGACAGACAGGCGGCCCTGTATGTACGTTTCAGTGTTAGGATCGGCAGCATACTGACCCAGGAGTGCTGGGACGCCCTATTTAAAGAGGCTGAAGAGAAACAGGTAAACTCTAACACTCTCCTGCACTGAACTGTCTTCTCTAAAGTGGAGACGGATCCTTGCCTTCGTCAGGGACCCGTTCGGGTCACCCCCCACAGAACTACTACTACTAAACACCACGCTTGCCAAGCGGGTTGGCTGGTGAGTTGGTAGGAATATACGAAGGAACTAGTAGATATTGGTTCGGGTCCTAGGTTAGATTATGATTTCTCCCGGCGGTAGGAAGTGAGAAAAGACTAACGCTCGCGTGGGCAGGGACGCTTTCCTGAAGTAGGCTTGTCCCCTGCCAAGATCGCCGAGGAGTGTATATCCGCTACCCAATCCACCCGCTGCACAATGCTAGGAATATAAAAAGCATAGAATTACCTTCCAACTGAGCTATGACCCGGCTCCACTTTCCGTTTAAGGATTTTAGGG